TTCTATTCTGACGATTGTAAAAACTTGAAATTTCTTTCATTTTAATAAATTATGCTTTTCTCGAAAAGTGTTTTCTTTTATTTAACCACCTTTCCGATCTTCCTTAACCCTTTTCCTCCCAAATTTTTCATTTTATCGTTCTTTGCCTAATTTCTTAGATTTCATTATTTAAATAATTCCACCTAATTTCATTTTTAATAAAATTTTCACTTTTTCTAAATTTTACGCGAGTTTTCTTTAACATCCAAATGGAAATCGTGATACCAGCGAAGAGATATCAAAAGATATTAAATGTGTGTAGCAAAAGGAGCTTGAAACTTCAAAGAGACATATTGAACTACTAATATCGACGAAATATTGCTTAAACGCGGAATATGCAAAAATTGTAGACACAGGATAACTTACCTTGAGAAAATTTACTTCTACCGCAGATAGAAAATTGAATTCACAAAATATAGTAAAAAGTTTGCTTAACAACTATAAAACAAATATCAGCGAGAAAACCACGCGTTACTCAAATATCCTGAAAAACAACGAGGATCCTCGAATGTGTTAAACGAAAGTCAACGAACGATTTACACCTCGAATTAACAAAACACGTTCCGGGACGACAAGTCTGAAAGTCGCAAGAACGTTGCGTTATTCGTTGTACTTAAATTTGTCAGTGAACTCTGCTAATTGGCCGGGGTACCGTCATTTTACGATCGCGACCAAGAAGCGTGTTCTCGTCTGACACGAGATTCATGCTCGCAAAACACGGCGTTAACGAGCGCGCCGGCAACTCAGCGACGGATCCCTTTGCTCGGGAGACATCGACGCCTGGACAACACGTTTTGATCTGCCCGGCGCTCCTGACCGCCATAGAACAGCAGCGGCAAATCATTCGATGGAAAATCCCTGTCTTTCCTCGTAAATCGACCGATCGTTCCGTAGAAAGATCGTATACTAATTGAAGCAATCGAGAGGTAAATTGGAAAGATTTACTCGCTGATTTTTCACGGTGGTTTTACAAGGGTTGAAAGTTCATTTCTGCGTGTTTAAAAATTGTAGAGGAAGTGAAACAAGAATTTAGTGTAATAAAGATGCTGATTTTTATGCTAATTCGGCTTAAAGCAATTGAGAGGTAAATTTTGAAGATTAATTCTCTGATTTTTCGTATATTAGATAAGGCAATGACGGTGTTACAAGGGTTAAAATTTCATTTTTACGTATTTAAAAATTGTAGAGGAAGTGAAATAAGAATTTAGAGTAACGAAGATACTGATTTTTATGCGATCTTTCGTATATTAGATAAGGTAACGATAGTTTCATAAAGGTTAACATTTCATTTCTATCCTACTTAGAAAAATATAGTGGAAATGAAACAAGATTCAGAAGAAATGCAATAATTTCGATATTTTCCGTATTTTCCTCACAAGAGAAACATTCAGTCGTTCGAGATTACCCAGAAGGCAGCTAAATGAGTTACGAATGTCCACAAGAACGTCGTTTATTTTCCAAACGACGACCTTTAACCGCGCTATGACCGATCCGAAACAATATTTGAACGAGCGAAATCTGCGCCCGTTCAACGTTCGTCGTATCGATAAAACTTGGGGCCAAAATTTTGCGAAGAAACGCTGGTAAACACGCGAACCACGCGGCTGAACGACGACGCCCGAACGACGGGGATGTTTTACGAGCGGAAACTGGCGCCGCGCCGCCCTTTTGTTCGCCGCGCCACGAAACGTGGGACTTACAAATTGGAATACAACGGGCCCGGAGTTAGGAGAATCATTTCACGCTTCGCGGGGGCGCCAAGTCCAAGGCAAACACCGATAAAAACTGCATGAATAAAGCACTAATGAAAGCACTATGGACGAGGAATAAACATTCGAACGATCGCTGAGAATGGCGCAGGTGGCGACAACGGAGCATCCTTGTTTCAGCCTCCTTTTTTATTCTTCGAGTTTCAAGTTTTTAGTGGGAACGGCGATTATTGGGTGAAAGAAAGTGTTGCGAGTGAGAAAGAACTGATATTGGATTGCTTTTGATTTATGGAGAAAGAGAGATTTTTTGGAGTGGTTTCGTGTGATCCAAATGAAGATTGAGAAAATCAGAGAAGTATTAATGTATAGTATGATATTGTAGTGTGGAATATTTGAATTTTGAAATTCGACTATTTTGTGCAGTTTAACTTAAACTGAAAGTTTGAAATTTAACTTGGAACTTTGAAATTCAATATTTCATTTAAATGGAAACTTTGAAAATCAATTTCTCAACTTAGATTAAAATTACTAAAAAATAAAATTAAAAATTCTTTTAACACCAACACACAGCATATATGCCAAACACGTAAAACATTTTCCACAACACTTCCAACATCTTTCAGCAGAACAGATATCCACAACAACCTCCATTTTTTCCCTAAAATCACTTTCCATCGAACCTTCACTCTTTCACACTCGCTGTAAAACACTCCATACTTAAAAACAGACACTGCAATCACCCAACAACCTAAATTCGTTCAGGAAAGAACGAACAACAATTCTAAAAAAAAAAAATGACGTACAAGAAATACATAAAAAAAAAAACACGTTTCACAAAGAAGCTACCGAAAATTACTAAAGGAACCCACGTAGAAATTTCCATTAATCATAACCAGCTGTAAAGCGGAGTCCAGAAGGAGAACGGTGGTTCGCATGAAATCCTACGACGTAATTCGAGTTTCAGGTATCGATCCTGTGCACGTGAAACGTATTCAGGAGCGATCGAGGCACTCTTATCGGGTGGATAGCGTTTCGCGTGAATCACCTGCCGACGTTTAACGACGTGCAGTAGCTAATTTGTCATACGGCCGCGGAGCACGGTGACACGCGTTGAAGTAATAACACGCGTTGCTGCAGTTAACGCGCCCGTCAGCCTGTACTTTAAACGAGAAATGCAATCAATCTGCACCGGGGAATCGAGGATCCCCTTTGCCATCCCGTGCACGTTCTAACATTCTAATTTCATCGTCCCGCCTCCAAGTATTTCAGGGGAAAAAACGAAAAATTCGGAAATTTTTCCCTCCGAAATGATCGCACAGCGGCGAAGTTTCGAACGAACGGCGAATTAGTTTCCAAGTGCTTCTTTTCCAATTGCGAAAATTATTTTTATTAATATGCGATTGTTTCTTTTATGAACAAGGTCTATGATATTTTTATCGCATTAGGATTTAAGAGATTGAACGTCCATTTTTGGTCACGCGAATAAATATCGACGCTGAATGAAATTTAATATTCCTATTTAGATATCATTCGTGAATTAATATTCGTAAATCGATCAGTGAACGTCAATCATCGAAGCGAAACTGCTGTTCTATCGAGAGCAATTTGCTACGATTATTTTCTTACAGATTTTTCACAAAAAAAAAAACACTGTAATTAAGTGATAAATGATTTTTTTTTTTTGCGTTTGTGTCTTATTCTGCGTGAATTAATATAAAATATAATTGCGACATATCTATTTTCCGTTACGCTGAAAAATTACGAAGCAAGCAATCTAATCCAATTTTAATCTCGGTAGTAAAGCTCATAAGAATAATCAGCACGCGTCAACAAAATACGCAATAAAACACCTGAGTCCTATGCGTAATCGTCTAAAACATTCTTGGAATGTTTTTTGATTAGCCCAATGATCCCTACTATTTCTTATCAATTAAGGCGCCAGTGAATAAGAAAATCGTACGAAATATTTTTTCAATAAAACCGATATTGCATACCTGTCAATTACCTCGATCCTCTTATCTCTGCATTCCAATGAAATCCTAAAAGTTTCCCTGCCGTTTCGAACCGATAAAACAAACCTACTCGATCGATGCTCTCTGCCATCCGCAAATCGCGAGATTTCCCTAGAAATTCATCGTTACATCTTCTCAGTGCACTGTATTATTCCGACCAAGTCTGCCATACATCATCCCGCTGAATAACCAATTTTCCTGACGCGAAACGTACTCCGTTCCCGTCTTCGCGCGCGCACAGATCCCAGATCTTGCGTGAATCAGCCAACTCTATTATCGGAATCGAAACGTAAAGGTCACTGACTGCACTTCTTTCTATGTAGACGAATTCCTTACTTCTACGCGAAGCTGAAGCACCGAAAAGATAGACTCGATAGATCTCGAGACTCGCCTGGAAATGGACAAATCGACGAAACCGACGCTAAAACTGCGTGTCGACTGCTCGATGATTCACCGACGGGCTCCTTCAAGGACAATCTTTATCGCGGCCTGACACACGACACAAATTATCGGCGACAACACCCTCGCGAGGAATGACGAATCCTTCGGAACGATTATCGAATTTTCGTGAGGCTCGCTTCTCTTGGTAACCGAACGGAGACGGAAATTGGGCTAGGACGAAATTTCTTTCTCTCGCGAAAATGTGAATTAGGTGAGTTAATGGTGTAGAGTGATTGGACCGTATCTTTGGTAATTACGAGACACCGAGTATCGAATTGGTAATTAAACGGAGACAGTAAAGAAACTATAGTTTCTTTCGCGAAAATGTGAATTAGAAGGCGAGTAAATTATGTGGACCATTCTGTCCACGGATTGAACTATTCTTAATAATTAGTAGAAATAGAGTACTTAATTGGTAACCAAACGGAGGCAGTAAAGAAGCTAGACTAAACGATATGGACAATGCTGTCCAATGCTCCACCATCTTTTCTAATCGCAAGAAACAGAGTACCGAATTTAGGAAAGACAGTCACGATCAGTGACATTTGCCCCAAACACAGCATCCTGACATACCAAATGAAAAATGAAAAGATTCACCGTGAAACAGCATCGATCCCCGGAGTAACGCGTGAGAACGCGGTTGCTCGTCGTGTCTCGAGAGCCTCGCGTTTCAAACTCGTAACAGGATACTCGATACTAAAACGGAGTTGTAGAAGGCGTCGAACGAGTGCCTTCGCCGTGAAAGAGGAACACACGACAAACCGGCAATTTAATGAATGTTTGAACATGGTTCGTTCACCTGTGTCATCAGTCGATCCGCTCCGGTGCCCTCCTCATCCTTGAAGATGATGTCCGCGTTGTAGTTCGGCACGAGATCCCGGAACCTGGAGTCATGCCTGGACACGCGGCCCTCGCTGAGCCCGCTAGCTGGCAGCGTGTTCTCACTGACGTTCGGTACATGTTGTTTGAACACCAACGGCGTTAGCTTCCTCAGTATAGGACGTCGTCCACCGCCTCTGCCTGGTCCGCAAGCCAGGACAAGGCCACCGTTGTCCAGCACCGGTAGCCAGAGACCGAGTATCAATAGGAAGACTTGGAGAAGCGAGGGTGTCGTACCTCGCCTCCTTAACAGACAATGATGGCTCGCCAGAAGGCCGCGACGACGATGATGATGGTGCACCATAATCACGCGGCTCTGCCTCGAGGACGACCCTGCTTGGTCACTGGTCGCCGTTGATCCTCGTAGACGAAGACCTTGCTACGCACGTCGTCGTCGAGCACGTCGACGGTACCACCGAGTCCTCACCACCACCACCGCCGCCGCCGGTGATCCACCTCCTCCACCGCTGCAAGAACGACCACGACCACTTAGACGACCTAGACGACGATGACAACGACGAGGACGACGCGTACGTTGACAAGTTGCCGGTCCTTCTCCTCCTCCTCTTGCCACTGACCTCACTCACGCTTAACCATAACCAGGGCATCACACACCCCCCCTGCACGCACTCTTATCACCGTTCTGACCGTCGTAGCTGCGTCTAATCCACCACCCGCGAGAAACGAAAAAAGTATCCGTAGGATCTGTTCGAAACTGCTTCGCGACAGATTTTAACCGAGGTTCGGACGCGTTTTTTGTTTTTATCGCCGCGGCACGACAAATCTCGAACGAAACACCGTGATGATACCCGCCGTGAGTTTCCCACTAAAACGAGTAACTAGAGACTCTCCCTAACGAGACTATCTTCCTCTCTCTCTCTGTGTTCTTTTTATTTATCCTTTCTTCCGTCGGTGGTTACCGTCAGGGGTTGTAATCGACAACATATACGACGAATCCTCGCACCGACGACCCACGATTGGTGCATAAAAGCGATCGAAGGTTCTCTCCCTCGATTGTCAATTATTCATTGCATGCTAGAGACCGTAGGGAGGAACCATCGTATCGACACCCACTGTTTTGTCTCGCTGTAGCGGCGTTTGTCTCCGTTCGTGAAAAGAATTCTCGGTACCGTGGCGGTGCTGTGTTCTCCAGATCGACAAAAACCGAAACGACGTTAAACGGATCGAAAACTTTCTCCAGACGACGATGATATCTCTCGTCTCTTTTACCAAGAGGACACCCGATCGACCTGACTCACTTGACTGAACTCGATATGCGAGCACCAGTCCGGAAGCTCTGTGGCGCACGTTTTCCGGACGAGTCAGTGGTGGGAAATGCGGGATGGGTTTCGGTGGGTACCCTGCGTTGTTCCTTTGGCCTGGTCGGCTCCAGGGTGCCCCTCTTCCTGCCCCCACCAACTTGGCCAACGGCCGGCCGGGCCGCTGGCGCTGGTTGCAGCTAGCGAGCTGGCCCCCGTGGGGCTCTCACGGCCTCCGAACGTGGTGGTGGATGATCCTTCTCCCACCGCTATGGGCCTCCTGGTACGCGTTTCAGTGACGTCACCGGGCCCGTCGAGACTCCATTGGTTGGGGCGGGGCGTGCACGGGTCGAAGTAGGACAGGTGTACGAGGATGAAAAGAGACGACGAAGGAAACAGAGGATGAAGAGGGAGAGGAAGAGAATCTTTTTAGCTTTCTCCTCGTTCGATTCGGTTTGATCACGAACCACCTCTCTTTCTCTTTCTCTCTCCTTCTTCACACTGCTCGTTTCTCTTTCGAATCTTTCCGTTTCTTCGGCTTCTTTGCCAACACAGACTGTCTCCCTCTCTCTCTCTCTCTTGGTTTTACACGACCAACTCTACTACTCGCTCCACCTCACGCCCGTTCGATTGATCCTTCTTCCTCTTCGTTCTTTTCGTTGTCGTGGTTGTCGTCGCAACAACGTTCTACCTTGTTACTCGCCTCTCTCCTTCTCTCGTTGAAAAGGTTTCCCCGTTGCTCCGCGCGCGCCGTCAACGCACAGCCTTTACGGGGCGCTTTACGCTCCAAGAAAGTACCGGCCGCGTTGCGCGAACATTCTCAATGACCGTGTCTTTCTACCCCTGGGGCGAGCGCGCGTACCTTAGGCGTCGAAGATGTGGGGTGGGCTGACCTTCACTTCACCACCTGTCAAGTTTCACGTTTTCCTCCCGCGATTTTCGCTCTTTTGTCTCTCCTTCTTCCTCTTCGCGATTAGCACTTGTGCCGGTGATCTTGCAGGATCTTCTGTTAAACGTAGCGTTTACTGAGTTACGTTCGTTGCGTCCGACTCGTCGATCGTGACGAGCGTTCTTTCTTCGATCATGATTTAGAGCGGTTGATTCACCTTTGTGTCACATTCGCGGTTGTTTCGTTTTTTATTTGAGTTTGGAGTATTGGATGTGGAGCGAACTGCACGACGATGTGGGTACACTTGATTCGATCGAAACACTGCGGAGCGAATTAATCGATCTTCGGTTAGAAGTGGCGCCTACGTTTATCGACTCGCGGCCAACGATAATCGCGCACAAGCCACTCCACGTCGAACCGCGCGAGATTAGCCGCTCACGGTCGCCGATCTTTTGGGGGAACATCGCGTGGTATTTGGTGACGATGACGGGTGAGCGATTTCTGTGAAATTTCCGCCCTCTTCAACGATGGGATAGCGAAAATATTGGATTTTAATACGGAGATACGATTTTAGTGTTGGAGCGGTTTTTGAAAATTGAAAATTCGCATTCTTGAACCGTGGAATTCGAGAATATTTGATTTTAATACGGAGATACGATTTTAGTGTTAGAGCGGTTTTTGAAAATTGAAAATTCGCATTCTTGAACCGTGGTATTCGAAAATATTAAGGTTTAATAGGGAGATACGATTTTTATGCTCGCCGAGTTGTTTTTGAAAGTGAAAATTCGCATTCTTAAACGATAAAATTCGAAAATATTGACCTTTAATACTGAGGTACGATTTTTGTGTTAGAGTTGCTTTTGAAAATTAAAAATTCGCCCTCTTGAAAGACAGAATTTGGAAATATCGTACTTTAATACGGAGATACGATTTTTGTGTTAAAATTGTTTTTGAAAATTAAAAATTCGCCCTCCTAAACCGTGGAATTCTAAAATATTGAATTTTAGTGTGTAGATACGATTTTCATGCCCTCAGAGCTGTTTTTGAAAGTGAAAATTCGCCCTCTCGAACGCAAGAATTCGAAAATATTGAATTTTAATATCTTAGTACGATTCTTACACTCACAAGTTATTTTCAAAAATTGAAAACTCGTCCTCTTCAACGACAGAATTCGAAAGACAGATTTTTATCTTAAACAGAGTTGTGCTTGAAGGTAAAAAGATTCGTCCTCTCGGAAATACTGAACGTTCCTACGTAGATACGATTGTTTTCGTCAGAGAAAAATGTCTTTTCGAGGAATTGTTTATGGAAAATAAACAATTCTCGGGTTGTGAAAGAAACGACGAATTTCACGGCGGTTGTGTAAAAAAATAATGATGTATACAACGACGCACATTTGCAGGCGTTACGAGTAACCGAACGTCTGTCATGCATTCGTCCCTCGCGCAACGTGACACTTTCCTCAGACAAACTTTTCTTTCAAGTATTTCGAAAATTTGCATACTTGCTGTTCAACTGATACGTAAGATTTCAGCAGTCGTGTGCAATAAAATTGAACCAAGTTTTTTGAACTTTCTCCTTTGATCTTTTTCGTCGAACTCGCGAGTGAAAATGGATGCAGATATTTTTACGTCAGAGGCATGTTCCGTTCAATTGTACCGCTTTCACCTTGATATCGAACTGTTTTGTAGAAAAATTCTCGAAGAATACTCTGATATTTCCATTTTTTTTAGAAAAAGAGGACAAAATGAAAATTTCCTATCCTTTCATAATCATTTTTCTTTGAAATTATTTTAAATAAATTCACGTTGTATCTTTTGAAATTTTGTTTGTATCGAATTTCTGTATTTAAATCACGCGACAAAAATTAGATGAAAATTCTGGCGAATGAAAGCAGATAAATTAGAACAGCAACATCCTATTTCCCGCAACGATTCGAATCTTCTACGTCGATCTAAGCAGCCGATACGCAAATACAGGAAATATTTGAAACAAAAGTTAATCTGAAGAAATTAGTTACATTGTATACAATTTAAACGCGAGATAGACGCATCGTTACAAAGTTCATTCCTCTTTTCAATCCTACCGTAATCGTTCTGTCTCTCAAATTTTTCCACAAAGCAGCATTAAAAAAAAAAAAAAAAAGAAGAATAAACTCAAACAGTCAAAATAAAAAATTTGTCAAATGTACTATATCCTAACAATAATTAGAATTTTATCACAGCATCCTGCCTCAAAAGCAAATATCAAAAATAAAACGACAACCAAAGAATTAAAATGGCAATTACCAAAATAAGTGCCGAAAATTAACAAAATTATCTTTCAACGAAAAAGAAAATAAATTCCACGTTTCACCCTTTACTTCCCCCCTAAATCCACAAAAATACCGAATACTGAAATTTCATAGCGTTCGAACGACGAACGCTAGCAATTACCGAAATGAACAAACACGTTAGTATTTGTTTAAAAAGAAAAATCTCCAAATTCACCATTTCAACTCCTCGATCGTCCAAAAATCTCGCAACGATCACTTTCTCCAAAATTGCCAGCAAAACTCCTGTCTCTTTTCCCTCTAGTTCATGAACGAACGTACGAAAAAGTGTGAAAATTAGCGAGCAAAGGTCAGTCTAGCTATCGAATCTCGCGGGGTTCAACGTGTAATGGCTCGTACCTGACGCGAGCGCGGCGATAAACGCACTTGAACGGCTCACGGTCAAGAATTTGAGCCGAGGAACGCGAACCACGGGCACAACGATGAAACGTCACCAGCCACAGCTATGAGCCAACTGATATGAAAGTCGAAGTCTAGCGAAGAATAAGGAGGGGAGAGATGAGGCACCACGGCCTACCAAACTGTGTTCGGTTTACTGATAATAAACATCTTTTGTGAATAACTGGCCGCCCCACCAACCAGCTTCAATCTATCATTGACACATCGGGATATATACGATATAAACAAAACGTACACTTGGAATTCCGACGTTTGCCTGGTTTTTACATGGCCAACGACGGAGAGCATTTCTTTTGAAAAACAGAACGGGGCGATTCGTCGTGTTTGCCTTTGCTTCTTGCACCAACCTATAGCTCGTCGTTCGCGGGCAACTGTTCGGCGAATTTGAACGTGGAAATTTTTGTAGGAAATTTCAAGGGAACGGA